GGGCTGGGTATGTGGGTGTGGCGGTTCATGCCTGTAATTTCAGCACTTTGGAAGGCCAAGGTGTGAGGATCCCTTGAGCTCAGGAGTTCAAGACCAGCCTGAGCAACATGTTGAAACCCTGTCTTGACAAAAAAATAAAAATAAAAATTAGTTGGGCATGGTGATGTGCACCTGTAATTCCAGCTACTTGGGAGGCTGAGGCAGGAATATCACTTGAACCCAGGAAGTGAAGGTTGCAGTGAACAGAGATGGTGCCACTGTATTCCAGTCTGGGCAGCATAGCAAGACTCCATCTCAAAAAAAAAAAAAAAAAAAAAAAAGGAAACATTTTAAAGAAAGCAAACTATATGTCATAGTAATAAATTTTTGTCTTTTAAACAATACTAAAAGTAAAAATTTGATTCATATTTTGAGGGAGAACTTCACAAACTTTCACATAATATTGAAGTAAATCAACGAACACCGGATACATGTAGATGTTTGATATTACAAGATAATATATGTTACAAATATCCTGATTTGGGTTTATTAAAAAATGTGTAATTAGAGCTTCGGTTATCTTAGAAAGATATCAAGTTTTCAGTATGAATTCCTCTATGATATGTTCAATGGTATGTGTCTGTATGTTACTCAACCCCAGATTGTCCAAGATCAAAATTCTTATCGCTTTACTCTCACATTCGGTTCCATTTTGAAACTCTCTAATGAGTTTGGGATTCTCTAAGCAAAAATTCTCAGTGAGTAAGTTTTAATACTTTACCTCAATACATATTCTCTTACTTATATTTCCTTTCTGTTTGATACATACCAATGGAAGTTCTATACAGTTTTTCAAGTTCAACTCATCTGTGTAGCTGTTTCTGTTTTTATTCTCCAAACCTTTTGTCTGTCTTCCAATAGCACTACTCACTTACAGCTATATCAGTAGTTCTCAATTCTGACTACACATTAGGCTCACCTGGGAATCTTTAAAAACATATCGATGCCTGGGTCCCGTTACCAAAGGCTTTGACTTAATTTGTCTGGGGTGATATCCTGTTATAAATAAAAGTTTTTAAAGCTTCAAAGGTGATTCTAGTGTGCAGCCAAGGTTGGTAACAGTGCTGTCTGTATTATTAATCTTATTGCATTATCATTATTTATTAATGCAATTAATCTTACTGCATTATGATTATTTTCTCCCATTCTAGTTTTCACACTTTTAAGTCAGCAACTATATCTGATTTGTATGTGAATTCCAATACCTGTTGTATTGGATCTATAGAATACTTATATATACAAGGTGCTCTATCTCTTATTCAAGGAAAGCACAGCGTATCACAGAAACATCACACACAAAAAAAAACCTAATACATTACTGTGGCCTAGTAAGGCTATAAGAGAAATAAAAATAAAGTATTAGAGAGGAGAGTCAAATCAACTTGAGAAATCAGGAAAGCCTAATTATAAGGGTGAAATGTTCACATGGACCATGTGCAGAATTTTGAATAGGATTGTGTAAATGGTTTTCATAGAAAGAAATGAAAAATAGTAGAAAATGAGGAGACTAGAATAATTTCTTGTAAAAGGAAACAGAATGAGGAAAAAGGAAAAGGTAGAAATACATGAAGCCCACTTAGGAAATAGTTTTTATAGCATTTTAGAAACAACAATCGGATAAATGGCTGATAAGGGTAGACACTGGTGGATGAAATCACGGATGCTTTGAATGCCCAGTGAACAAGCATGGACTCCTCAAAGTTTCTAAGCACAAAAATAAGGTACTCAGATACTGTGCTTTAAAAGTTCAATCTCCCTAATTGTACCTTTTAATAAATATGGTTGTATGACCTCAATTACTTTATATAAACACTATAAGCAATATTATCTTACACTAAAACCTTTTTCATTCTGTGGCCAATGTATTCATCACAAAAGAGATCACCAAGTGACATAAACATTAATTATGTCTTTTCTCAGATGACAATATTTTATTAGCTTAGCTGAGAAAAAAATAAACGGATGTTAAATAGTACAATGGCTGTGGTAGCTCCCAAAAAAAACTGGCCTAAAAGACTTGGCTATCTGTGTTGTTGTTGTTGTTGTTGTTGTTGTTGTTGTTGTTTTGTGGGGGGTGACATCAAATCAAAGATGAGGCAAAGAAAAATTTCCGCATTTGTGATTTCATGTCCTGCAAAATGTAATTGTTTACTTTAATCTAAAGCCCAAATTACTCATTTCATACAGTCATTTTTACTTCAACACACTGCTGTTGACTGACAAATGCAATATTTGTTGCTGAAAAAGGCTGTAGAAAAAGTACTGGAATGGTGCCATGACTCTGCAGTCATTAAGTCTCTGCTCAGGGCAGCTCTTAATTTAACGGGTAGGCTGATAACCATGCTCACCAGTGTACTGCCTCAGCAAGCTGTATTTGTCCCGTACCACTGCCCTATGAAGAGCTATTTTAAGATCCACAGAAAGTTCTTTTTTACTTCTTTTAAAATCTTCATTGTATTTTATTAATAAAGCAACGGGATATAGAATATAAATGAAAAATTTAGAGCAATCAGTGTTTGCAAGCATTGAACACACTTTTGCTTTTATGTTAAAATTAACCCAAGATCTGTGAGAGTGTGTGTGTGTGTGTGTGCATGTGCAGATACGTAACAGCCCAGTGAAAAATGAAGAAAAGTGAAGGATTCAAATATTTATGCAAATATTTAAAATTTAAGAAATATTATTTAGAATCAACATAGAACTCAACAGTTGTCTTTGACAGAAATATATTTTATAAAATTATAGAGTTAGGTTCCATATTTCACATACTAACGCTTTATATGCACAAACGGACTTCAACTGTGCTGCGGGCAGTTTTCAGTCTTCTAATTTGGTGATATATTTTAAAATTTAATTGAGAAAATGAAATAAGTCAATTCTCAAGGCTGAGACATAGTTCCAAACAAGATGGACTAAATGCAATCTATTTTACTTCCCCTGTTAATCACAATGGAACACTCATACAAAACATGTATGCCATCTATCAAAAGACTCTTAAAGGTAGACTAAAGAAGGTATGTTGGTTAGGGTCCTCAGGACTTAAGGAATGAGATGGCACTGAGCTTCACAGGATTTTTCTTGCCTTCTATAATGTCCCAAACTGGGTGTCACAGAATTCCTTAATGCACCAAAGCACCGATCAAAAAAATAGCACCCAGGAAAAGCCAAGGAACCTGGAAACAGGGTGGCCCAGCCTTATCAACCTGTTCTGAAGGTGAATACCACAAAACTATCATGTCCCTCCCAGACTAGGAGAATGGTACAGTAGGGAATCAGTAAGAAACACCCTCCATTCCCACTCAGATTCCATGGGCAAAACCCTGTCTTCCACTCATACCACCACTTCAGTAGAAAAGGCAATTATTCCCCATGGGGCTTGAATTAACTTCCAATTCCCATAAAGTTATGAGGAGATGCCCCTCCCTTGCAGAGCCCATGGTTGAAACTTTGACTTCCACTCCCCACTGCAATAAAATTTGTGAGAAGGGTGTGAATATTAATGGGTAAACCGAAGGAGTTTTTTGTGGTGATGAAACAGTTCTATATGATGTTCATAATAGTGATGGTTACTCTAATCTATGCATGCAGTATAATTTTATAAAACTATAAACCCTCCCCCAACAAAAATCAAACAAACAAAAATAAACAAAAAACTTGAAAAATCAGAATAAGAACTGTAACTGAGTTAATATTGTACCAAAGTCAATTCCTTAAAAGGAAAAAAAGAAAAATATATATGTATTGGTAGTTTATATATTTATATAATAAGTCAATTATTCAGTTCTAACCTCCATTACATGCTTTCTCCCTAAACACCTGGGCACCAAAAAACACATTTATATTTGATACATGTGATAAAACTTTAAAATCATTTCCGGTTTTGCCACTCGAATAGATTTTCTAATACTATGACTAAATCAACTGTGACTAAAAATTGACTATTTACCCCAAACTTTCAAAATCTGGATTCTTCAACAAACACCAGGGCCTACTTAAGGGTGGAAGGGTGGAGGGTGGGAGGAGGGTGAGGATTGAAAAACTACCTCAGAGGTACTATACTTATTACCCGGGTTGCAAAATAACCTGTACACCAAACCCCTGTGACATGCAATTTACCCTGAAAAATAAATTAAAAAAAAAAAACAAAACCTGCAAATGTACACTTAGAACCTAAAAGTAAAAAAGTTGGGGGTAGTTCTTAACTTAAGAAGAGTAACTACTTGAAAAGGAAAGTAGTTATTCTTCAGGCCTGGACCAGGCACTGTATGTTTCACATGAGCATGGTCATAGCCAGAGAATATTATAGAATAAGTAAGCTCAACTGGAAGAGACATGGTGGAGAACAATAAACTACTGCTGCAAAATCTTTATAAGGCAATATTTAAAAGCATCTAAAAAGAAAAACTGGAAAAACGGTATATTAAAATTATAAATAATAGTGGTAATACTCTGGTTTTGGGGTCATGCCTTTTCCCTAAGGAACAGAACATACATTTCTGTATGGATGAGTCTTTTTCAAGTGGCACAATTAAATGTGCCTCAAGCCACTATGGAAATTACTAGTAGGCTAAAAATCATAAATCAGGAGCCATATTCTCCATTCAGTATCTTTGGCTCTACAGTTAAGTTAGACTATATTTCCAGCTAAATCCCTGAACAATTCCTTTGAGCAAGCAATAGTTTACACTAGAATATCACCCCTTAGTCGTGTGGCTTCTGGGAAAATTTTCTGCCATCACAATGCTACTCAACAAGCAACACACTTAGGCAATTTGTCTACTCTAACTTCTTCTCTGGTAGTTTTGAGATATTTAACAGCTTTATGTTACCAAATAGGTTAGAGATGTTAAGAACCGTATATTGTGATGGACCAATCTTCTTTATTCTAACCTTGTATATAGACTTCCCCAAAGGGAAGATACTATTAATGGAATCTGTGCTTTCCTCATGTCTTTACTTACTTTCTTCTTTCTGTTTCAAATCTATGGAGTAGTTTCCTCAGACCACCATTCTTAAATCCCTGAAAATGGGCAGCTGGGGCTCCCACAGTGATGACATCGTAGAGAGCATCTGGAATAGAAACAGACAAGGAGATGAACACTTTGCAAACATTTATCTCCATCATGCTGTTTGCATTGAAGCATACCTACTGTATGAGAAAATGTTCTGTTTAATTTTGCAGGAATAACTACAAACTCACATCTCAAGGGGGAAAGAGGAGCTAATCAATCTTTCTAAAAGCCACCTGTGCATCTAAACAAGATATAATATTTTCCTGATTTATGACTACATCTTAATTATATGCTACAGTGTAGAACAGTGTGTTCTCTCATTATTCTACATACTTACTGAGATAACATGTTAATTGCTCTTTTGTGTATTTTACTTTATTGAGTTTTGCATCATTTAATTTGCAATCATGTTGAAATTCAACAATAATGAACAATCTTTCAACCAAATTTTACATAGATAAAAAAACCAAATTATTAAGCATTTTGGCTCAAGGGCAGAATAATACTAATACATTTTTAAAAATCTATACAGAGTACTTTCCTGATTGTGTATACTAAATCTTATACAATTTCAAATGGATGCTTTTGCAATTTCCTTAGGTGACATAGAAAGAATACACAAAATGTTTCTTGTTCTGTTTTCTAGTAAGATACTTTGTTTTTTTAACAAAAAATCCATACATTTAAATTGAAACTTAATCTTTTGATCTTGAAAGCCATGAAGTTTGATACATATTAAGTTTACAGCTTCCAAACATGCCATCATTTTTACATTCTAATGAAAAGTATCCCCATAAGAAGGAAGACAGAGTGAATGGTCTGTTGTTAAACTACATTTTATTTGAGAAACCTAATTTCATAGTAGATCCTTTTCAAATTGATTTTGCTACTGACACTTGGGTGGTTCTTCAGATCTCATTTACTAGGAAAACACAAATTATTTTATAGCTTCAGGTAAACACCATAACGTCTTCCGAGTAGTTTAATCCAGATGCATCTAACAATTTTCTTCTAATAAAAAATGTCTTGAAGTGAAAGATGTCAGCAGCATTCAGAAAATGCAAAGTTACAGGAAAGAATACAACACAAACCAACCTGCCAATAAGGCATATAATGAAAATCATTTAATAGATCACCCTAATGGTAATCTCTTGTCCTCTTTAAAAAGTCACTAATAAACTAGAAGTCAGCTCTTCTTAAGGTAGCAGAGTATTAGATTTGTAAGAAATTTAAATATTTTCTAGTCCAGGGGATTTTAACCTAGGGCTAAGATACTGGTTTCAGGATATCCAAGGATGTTTGTTAATTGTATAATTACATCTATTCTATGTCAGAGAAAGGGATCACAGCTTTCTCAAAGGGTCATGAGATCACCCCAAAGTTACCAACATTATGTTTTAGTCCACCTTCGTTTATCTCATGAGAATCCTGAGGATCATTAGAAGTTAATTTCTTCATCCATTTATCTGATAAGAAGCCTGAGGATCATTAGAAGTTAACTGTTTGTCTAAAACCCCAAATTTTACACTCAGGGACTTCTGGCTTCTAACTCAGTGCCAGAGATTCAGAGTTCCCTGGTGGTTTAAGTTAATGATGGGAGCCTGAGTCACTGGCTTTGGATTCCAGATCTGCCACTTAGCCACTTACAAGTTGTTTAGCATTGGGAAAATTATTTAACTTCTCTCTGTCTCAGTTTTCTCGCTATAAGATGTAGTTGAAAGTAGCTAAAAGTGACAAGCATTTAGTAAATGTTATCTACAATTATTATTTTCTGTATAAGAAACAATGCCACCAATTGAAAGGTGGTGTATTAGCTGTTGTTTATTTCTCTACAAAAATAAACTTTTGAGTCTGAAAAGGAAAATGACATTGGGGCTCAGTCTTCTGAGTGAAATCAGTTCCTATGTTAATTTAAATGCAAAAAGACATATTATCATGACAATGCAACAAAATATGCTGCATTTCTGCCAAAAACTGGGTGACCAGCAATACCAACAATACACAGAGAAGCTAAAAATATTACTTAGCCTTAAAAAAGATGGAAACTCTGCCATCTGCAACAAAATGAATGAGCCTAGAGAACAATATGCTAAGTGAAATAAGCCAGTTCCACGACAGACACTCCATTTACATGAGGTACTCAAAATAGTCAACCTCATAGAAGCAGAGAGTATAATGGTGGTTGTCAGGGAATGCAAAGTTGCTATTCAACGGGAATAAAATTTTAGTTATGCAAAATAAGCTTCAAAGACAAGCTGTATAACATAGTGCCTATAGTTAATAACACTGTTGTACACTTAAAAATGTATTAAGAGGGTATATCTCATGTTAAGTGTTCTTAAAACAACATCATCAACAACAAAAAGACGACAGAACAACCTTTTTGAGGTGATGGATTTGTCTGTTACCTTAATTGTGGTGATAATTTCATGAAGGTATGCCTACATCTAAATTCATCAAGTTGTAAATATATATGCAGGTTTCCATAGGTCAATTTTACTTCAATAAAGCTGATTTAAGAAAAAAAATGTAACATATGTTTCACTAAGCCCAAATTAAATGCATTCTTACTTCAACTTCCCCAAAAAACATTGCCTGTTCAGAACTACCCAATAAGAAGGGAAGGAAAGGGGAGGTGAAATCTGAATAGAGACAGAAGTATGAATTGATAAAAGTTTAAATAACTAACATTTGCAAAAACACTTGACCACAAACATGTTTATGGTTCGTTGTAGTGCCCTCTAAGAGGCCTATGCAAGTGGCAGCCCCTGACATTTTAGCTGTCTCAGCTTTACAGTGAATCTTTGCAGTGTTGTTCAATTCATCCATAATTTCAGCATCCTCTAAAGCTACTTTCTGGGAACAGAAAGAATCTCTATTCATCCACCTCACTGCTCATGAAAATTCTAGGTATCTATGAAGAAACCAAGACATTTTGAAATAGCAGCTAAAGGAGAAGTAGCACATCATTTGAATACTCTCCTCCCCTCATAACAAAGAGCTGTTTGTTTATTGTTAAATCTAAATGGAGTGTTTCTATAGAACCATCTACAGTATGACTCCTAAATTTATGAACAAGCTGTTCTGTAAGTTCTAACATTTTCTTTTCATTCTATTTACAAACTCATCCCTTTTAGGGGTATCACACCATATTTTTACCAAGGACTATGAAATCTCTTGGCTAGTTCTGACCTCTTCCAAACAAAAATAAACCAATTCCTGACTGCTTTATAGACACCGCTGAGTGTCAAAGCCTATTAAGCTTAACATGTTATAACTCTTGACCCTAACTGGCTCTTCTGGTTCCCTGTGACAAATACAGACAACACATTCCATTAAGCCTCCCAGAGTAGAGCCCTCAAGATCATGTTCAACTCCTTTTCCTCCCTCATTATATCTCACCAGTCATAAAAAACTGTTAACAAAATATTAATTCCTTTTGTTCATGTTACTTATCTTTATCTTAGTGCTCATCTTCCTCATTTTTGTCAAGATGACTACTGCCTCTCTATGTCAGCCTCTCTGCAACTACAGTGCAGTAGCTCACTTTCATATGGGTGGCCGGTCCATCATTCTATCTGAAACACAGCCTTCAGTACTTAAGTCCTCCTTATAAAGGTTCATGGGAGAGCATTCAAACATCTCAAGGCCATATTCAAATCATCTATGATCTGGGTCCAATTTTTCCTTGGTCACATCATCCAGTGTATTATAAGCACTACGGAAGTGAAAATTATTGTAATCCAGATCACTTGAGGCCAGGAGTTCAAGACCAGGCTGGCCAACATAGTGAAACTCTTTCTCTACTAAAACTACAAAAAATTAGCTGGGTGTGGTTGCAGGTACCTGTAATCTCAGCTACTGGGGAAGCTGAGGCAGGAGAATTGCTTGAACCAGAGAGGCAGAAGTTGCAGTGAGCCGAAGATCACCCCATCACACTCTATCCTGGGCAATAAAAGCAAACTCCATGCCCCCACCCCCGCCAAAAAAAAAAAAAAAAAGGAAAGAATAAAAGTAAAAAATATTGTAGTCATTTTCAAGAGTGTATCTCCCATGCTTGGCACACGGAGGTACTCCTCATTTATAGCATGATTGTCTGTTGTCCAGTTACAACAGCAGTTCCATATTGTTGAAATCTTTACATCTTGGTTCTTGTGTTCTCTGACTTGGGTATTTTTCCATCCTAACCTCCCTCTCATTTCTTTGTCACCGAAATTCCACTGCTCTTTTGCAATCAAACTCACCACCTTGTTTTTGAAGTCTTTCTCGATATTCCAGTCAGAATAATAATTTTTATCTATACTTTCACATTGCTTTGTGTTTACCTGGAAGATTTACTTAATTCCTTATGATAGTTTCTATATTCAAATAAAATAATGAATATGGTCATAAAATTGTTACAATTGTTTTAAGACTCATATTCTTTACTGGATATGTTATTTGTGGATAAGAATTATATTTAGTAAATAACAACAATGTTAATAATGATGATGGCTGCAATATAGTAAGAGCACAATAAAAGTTACTAAATGAATGAACAATCATGAAAACACCCAGCATTTATTCCTGTGCTTCCCTGTACCATTACTTTAGTAGGTACTATATTTTCAGAACCTCATTTAATTTTCAAAATAATTCTCTAAGGTAAATCTTATTTCCCCAACTTTATACATAATAAAACTGATTTTGCATAAGATTAAATAATTTGCCTAGTCTTATGCTATTAAGTTTTGGATCTGATATATTTTCCAAAGTCTGATTTACTAAACAAACAAACTTACAGTATAAACAACCTTTAATGCTTTAGTCATGCTTATATTTTCCATTGGCTGCAGCCACCATGAGCATATACTGGATGCTCAAAAAATCTGGTCTGCATTAACATTCTAGATGTCGACTTCTAAAATAGAGGTATATTTGTGATCACACCAAAAATAAGACTAAACATTGATTGTTAATTGTGGTCTCAGAGGGCAAACAAAAGCTTGTAATTTATAAAAATGTTAAAAAATGATTAAACTGACCTGACCTATATTATCCTAATCTTTATTCATCCAC